ATGAGAAAACAAAGAAATACATCCAAATGAAAGAACAGGAGAAAACTCTAAAAAAAGAACTAAATGAAATGGAGGCAAGCAACCTACCAGATACAGAGTTCAAAACAATTGTTATAAGAATGCTCAGGAACATAGTGAGAACTTCAACAAAGAGATAGCAAACATAAAAAAGGACATAGAAACCATGAAAAAAAAACCAGTTTAGAAATGAAGAATACAATAACTGAAATGGAGGAATCACCAGCAGACTAGATGAAGCAGATGACTGAATCAGCAATTTGGAAGACAAAGTAGGAGAAAATACCCAATTGGAACAGCAAAAAGAAAAAAGAATTTTTAAAAAATGAGGATAGTTTAAGAGACTTCTGGGACAACATTAAGTGTAACAATATTTGCATCACAGGGGTACCAACAGGAGAAGAGAGAGGGCAAGGGATTTAGAACCAATTTAAAGAAATAATGACTGAAATTTTCTTAACCTGGTGAAGGAAATAGACATACAAGCCCAGGAAGCACAGAGAGTCCCAAACAAGATGAACTCAAAGAGGCCCACACCAAGACCTATCATAATTAAATGGAGAAGGTTAAAGAAAGAAAGAATCCTAAAAGCAGCAAGAGAAAGGCAACTAGTAACTTACAAGGAAGTTCTGATAAGGTTGTCAGCTGATTTCTCAACAGAAAGTTTACAGGCCAGAAGGAATTGGCAGGAAATATTCAAAGTGATGAAAAACAAAGACCTACACCAAGAGTCTACCCAGCAAGGCTTTTATTTAAAATTTATGGCCATATAAAGAGCTTCCCAGACAAGAAAAGGCTAACGGAGTTGATCACCACGAACCCAGTACTACAAGAAATGTTAGAGGAACTTTCTTAAGTAGAAGGAGAAAAAAACAAGACCAAAAATATGAAAAATAAAATGACAATAACTACATATTTACCAACTATTATTTAAAATGTAAATGGATTAAGTGCTCCAATCAAAAATATAGGGTGGCTGAATGAATAATAAAACAAAACCATTACATACTCATATGCTACCTATAAGAGGCTCACTTGAGATTGAAAGACACACACAGACTGAAAGGGATGGAAAAGTTATCTCATAAAAATGGAAACAACAAAAAAAGCTGGTGCAGCAATACTTACCCCAGACAATATAGACTTTAAAACAAAGGCTATAACAAGAGACAAAGAAGGACCCAGTAATTTCACTTCTGGGTATTTATCTGAAGAAACCCAAAACACTACTGTGAGGGGATGTACTCATCCATATGTTCATTGCAGCATTGTTTACAATGGCCAATATTTGGAGGCAACCTGCATGCTCATCAGTGGATGAATGGATAAAGAGGAGGTGGTACGTATATACAATGGAATATTGCTCAGTCATGGAAGGGAATAGGTTCTTGCCATCTGCAATGGTGTGGATGGACTTGGAGGGTTTTGTGTTGAGTGGAGCATATCAGACAGAGAAAGACAGATGCAATGAGATTTCACTTATATGTGGAATCTAAAGAACAAAATAAATAAAACAGAAACAAACATACATACAGAGGACATTTGCTAATTGGGAGAGGGGCGGAGGGGATGGGTAAAAAAGCTGAAGGAAGTAAAAACTACAAGTTAGTAGTTACAAAATACTCACAGGCATTTAAAGTAAAGCATAGGAAGTATAGTCAATAATACTGTAATAACTATGTATAGTGACAGATGAGTACTAGGCTACTCAGGAGGATCACTTCTTAAATTATATAAATGTCTAACCATTATGCTGTACATTTGAAATTAATATAAAAAATATTAAATGTCAACTGTAACTGAAAAGTTAAAAATGGGGGAGATGAAGGAGAATAAGAGGTCCAAATTTCCAGGTATAAAACAAATAAGTTATGGGGACGTAATGTACAGCATAGAGAATATAGTCAATAATATCATGATAGCATGGTATGGTGTCAGACGGTCGCTGGACTTATCATGGTGATCACTTCACTTCTCTAGGTATAAAAATGTAGAATAACTATGATGTACACCTGAAACTAATATAATACTGTATGTTAGCTATATTTTTAAATGAAAATCTATGAAAAAAGAGTTAAGATGATCAGCTTCATACTATGTATATTTTACCACAATAAAAAAAATGGAAAAAAAAATCAGAAAGGTAATTTCAGCATTTGAGGTTGTTTTTCCCTGAGGTTTTGCTGATAATGAAGAGCATCTGAAAAATTAAGCATTATGTTTGACACAGTTGGGGGCCATGTCAAACTCCTCATATTTTTTGTTGGCAACCCCAAGGCTAAAACCTAGTAGTAAGGATATACTAGAAGTCAACTAATCCTTGTACATACTACAGCATAACTTTCAGCCATTTTGTTCAGAAGAATCTTTGTAATTGTATTAAAATTATCCTAGATTACTAGTGCTTGAGTTGTCTGGCAAAATCAAAGAAAAGATTCCTTCCAGAAAAATATAATGTCATCCTAAATCTCAAATAAATTCTACAAACAATTTTTCCAATAGAAGGTATAGCTTAATTAACAAAAACAAGATATAAGAGCAGACAAGACAACAAGAAAAAAATAGCTTAAAGTAGAACCATGGAAAGTCACAGGAGCTTCAGATATTAAAAATGTCATGCACAAAACTTAAATAACCATGAGCAGGGAGATTAAACAAAGACTGAGAATTTCAGCAGAGAACTGGAAATATAAAACATGACATAACAGACCTAACAAAGAACCAAAGAGAAATTATATAAATAAAAAATACAATAACTAATATTAGGAACTCAGTAAATGTGAATAACAACAGATTAGACACAGTTTAAGATAGAAACTGTGAACTGGAAGTTAAGTCAAAAGAAAATGCCCAGAATAGGATAGAACACAGAAGACATGGGGGGGGGGCAGGGTTGTCACCTCGAGGGGCAAAAAGTATAACTATTGCACTGTGATGTACAGCTGAAACTAATTCTAAAAAATGTGTATTTCACAATAAAAATAACTTAAAAAAAAAAAGAAGACATGGTATGAGAGGATACATCAAGAAGGTCTAACACACATTTAATTGGAATCCCAGAATAAGAGGAGATAAAGAGTTAGAAACGATATTAGAAGAGATAACAGCTAATAATTTCCCAAAACTGATGGAAGACATCAAAGCCACAGATTTAATAACCCAAAATTGGATACAAAAAAGTAAACCCACACCTAAACATATTAGAATAAAATTATACACACACACACACACACACACACACACACACACACACAGGTAATACTAAAGCAGTTAGAGCAAACACATAGTATCTTCAAAAGAACAATTAGCCTAACAGCTAATACAGTATTTCCACCTTATCCATGGTTTCTCTTTCTGCACTTTCAGTTACCTGTGGTCAACTGTGTTCTGAAAGTATTAAAGAGAAAATTCCAGAAATAAACAATTCACAAGTTTTAAATTTTGTGCCATTTGGAGTAGTGTGATGAAATCTCGCACTGTCCCGCTCTGTCCCACCTGGGAGATGAATCATCCCTTTGTCCAGCATATTCATGCTGTATATGCTACCCGCCCATTAGTTACTTAGCCATCTTGGTTATCAGGTTGACTGTCAAGGTCTCACAATATTTGTGTTCAAGTAATCCTTACTTACTAATGGCTCCAAAGCACAAAAACAGTAATGCTGGTGATTTGAATATATCTAAGAGAAGACATAAAGTGCTTTCTTTAAGTGAAAAAGTGAGTATAGTAGAATAAGATATTTTGAGGGGGAGACAGAAAGATAGAGAGACCACATTCACATAACTTTTATTATAGTAATATTGTTTTAATTGTTCTATGTTATTAGTTTTTGTGGTTAATCTCTCGTTGTGCCTAATTCATTAATTAAGCTTTACCATATAGGTGTGCATGTATGGGGAAAAACATAGTGTATACAGGTTTCAGTACTATCTGAAGTTTCAGGTATCCACTGAGGGTCTTGGAATGTATCACCCATGAATAATCGGGGACTACTGCCCAAACAGAAACATTGAAAGCTAGAAGACAACAAAATGATATCTTCAAAGTGTTGAAAGAAAATAAATACCAATCTATAATTCTACACCCAGAAAAAATGTTTTAAATGAAAGTGACCACAACATGAATGAACCTTAAAAACATTATGCCAAAGGAAAGATTCCAGACACAAAAGACCACATATTGTATGCTTTCATTTATATGAAATGTCCAGAATAGGCAAATCCATAGAGACAGAAAGCAGATAAGTGGTTATTAGAGGCTGAAGGAGGGAGAAACAGGGAGTGATTATTAATGAGATGGTGCTTCTTTTAAGGGTGAAAAAATGTTCTGGAATTATCTAGTGGTGATGGTTGAATAACTTTGTAAACATACTACAAATCAGTGAATTGTATACCTGAACATGATTAAAATGGTGAATTTTATGTTATATGAACTTTATCTCAGTAAAAAAGCAATAAAAGTGAAGTAATAAATTATTAAACAAAGAATTATTCACCAGAAGACCCCACACCAAAGTTAATACAAAAGGATATTTTTTCAGGCTGAAGGAAAATAATCCCATTTTTAAAAAAGAATAATAAAAAGGGTAACTTTGTGGGCCAATCTAAATGAATAAAATAATATACTGTATTAAATAATGACAATTTTCTTGAGGGTCTTATGAGTTCTAAAGTTTGAGAAATATTGAATTACTGAATAGGGCCAAGTAAGAGCTGGAGGGAAATCTTCTCAGAGAAGTCTTTTGATTGTGTGGCTCATGAGAGGCTGGAAATCAGAGGCACCAACTCTTTAATAATCTCAGGAGTTATACTCCTAATTTCGAGTATGCATGGAAATATAACCCTCTAATACTTATCACTGAAATATAAGAACTCATATAAAAAAGTCAAGGTATTAATTTTCAATTTCTATTTAATTTTTAAATTCTTAAAAACATCTTACCATTGCAGAAAAGCACTTGACACATAGAAAGCTGCACCTACCCTTTCTCAATCACATCATCTTTAGAAGAAATTGTATACAAAGTCTCACTCTTCCAAGGTTTTTGAATTGCTGTTTTTACTCTAGGTGGTTTCTTGGGAGATTTAGGAGGTTGTACTAAACTGGATTCTTCTTTCTGAAAGTGAAATGAACAAAGTGAAAAATGAGCAAAAAGAAAATGATAGAGAATAAATCAGAGCTCTATACATATACCCAAAATTTATTTTGATCACTACAGAATTTCCCAACTCACTCTGCCACCTAGTATGCTTCCCACTAGAATAAAAAATGTTCTCTTTCCCAAACTTCCACTGTTATACAACCAGAAGGCTGAAACCCCTACAACTATTTAGACTCTAAGAAAGGAAAGGCCAAGGACTTTTATTTCTTTACATCATTGTGAAAGAAGGCTCTTTCCTGCAGGAAGAACACTGCAAAAACTTCTTTATTCTATAACTGAATAGGTTTTATTGCTAGTGTGTGTGCATGTATGTGCATGCATGCATGCATGCATGGATGGATGGATGGAAAATGGGGATGCAGGGTGGGGAAAGAATGCAAGAATATCATTGGTCCATAATAGAGACCTATATCTTAACAGAACTATTTCCTTCCATCTTTGGACATTTTATTTTATTTTTTTTTTAAAGATTTTTATTGGGGAATTGGGGAATGGGAACAGCGCTGGGGAATTGGGGGAAGGAGGACAGACAAGTTGCTGTCCTTTTGTTCTTCAGTCTAGTTGTGGAGGACGCTGCTTCACTGGCCCAAGTTGGCACCATCATTGCGCTCTTCCCTGGCGAGGCAGATCAGTCGCCGGCTTCTGGACGGCCGCTCACTGCGGCTGCTGGCCGCTCACGCTGGCTGCTGGCTACACACGGTAGCCCATGGCAACCCACTGCCACAGGGGCTGCAGCCTACGCCGTCACCAGCGACCCACGGCAGCCCAGCTCCAGGTTGAACTGTTGTTCAGCATCTTAGCTGTAGAGGGCAGTGTCACTGGCCCTCATATGTGGGATCCGAACCTGGGCCCTCTGGCATCCCAAGCGAGTTCTTAACCATCGCGCCACTCGGCCGGCCCTGGACATTTTATTTTCATTGTTATTGTTCCCATTCTTAAATGTTCTTTGTGGTAAAAGTTAACTATTTAAATCCAGAATATGAGATGCTACATGCATGAATCAAAAAAGTATAAACATCTAAATGTCAAAATGGAGGAAAAAAGAATTATCTGAGTATGGGATATACATAACTGTAACTTATATAATTCTTAAAAGTAAGAATTATGAAAATTATGACATGCATGGAAAAATATTGATGGTGTTATAAGAAATAATCAGAATACAAAAGCAGAAGTTCATTAAAACTAGAAATTCACAACAAGCCTAAGAGAAAAGAAATAAGTTAATAGTTGTGTAGAAGCAAGTGAGATCATAAGTAGTTTGTCTCTTCAGTTTCCAAATTTACAGTAGTTTTATTATTTTTATAATCTGAAAAAAAAGTGTAAACTTTTCTTATATGTTAACTGCCACTAGAATGTAATATATGTCACTGGAAAGAAAGAAATATATTTGTGATGTTTTATTATCCAGAACAAATAATAAATTGTTATATATGTACACTCTAGGTGCCTAACAACTACTAATGTTCTTTTAAGATTTCTATAAACAAAATTAATTACTGAGGTATGTTTTACATATAAGTTCCTAGGCATCAGGGCGCACATCTGTTTTAGTAATTCAGAACACAGTATGACATTAAGCAGCACTCAATAAATGAGAGGTACCACAGGGGGCTGATCTTATTAAAAGTATATAGTCTCAGAGATATAGAGGAAAAACTGATGGTTGCTAGATGGGAGGGAGGAGGAGATGAGGGAGAAGGGGAGGGATTAGACAGCACAAAATGGTAACTACAATATTGCCACGGGATATAAAAGACAGTTTGGGGGAATATAATCAATTACCTTGTTGTAAAGATTTTGTAGGGTGCCAGATGGGCACATTCTTATTACAGAGACCACTTCATGGACTGTGTAGATGCCTGACCACCACTGTGCTGTACACCTGAAGCTGAAGCTGAATAATATTGTATGTCGACTATAGTTTTATATATATATATATATATATATATATATATATATATATACACACACACACAGGATATGGAGAACAGCACAGGGAATAGAGTCAATGGAATTGTAATAGAAATGTATGATGTCAGAGGGGCAATAGATTGGGGATGGGGGTTATCACTTTGTGAGGGGTGAAGTGTCTAACTATTACATTGTTTTGTACACCTGAAACTAACAAAAATAAAAAAATAAAAAAGTATATCATATAAAAGTAATCAAATTCGTAGAAGCAGAAAGTAAATTGGTGGTTACAAGAGGTTGAGGGAGGGGAAAGGGAAGTTGTTTAATGGGTATACAGTTTCAGATCTCAATAAAAATCCAGAGGATTTGATTCACAACAACATAAATATACTTGCTTCTGAAGTGCACATTTGAAAATGATGGAGATGGTAAATTTTATGTTATGTGGTTTTTTTTCACAATAAAAATAGTGTTCTTAAAAAGTTTTTAAAGTGTATTATACACAGAAAAGCCTAAATTAGAACTTTTGAGATTTCTGATCAGGGGAAAACTAGAAAAGTAGCCAGAAAGTAATTGATGGGGAAAAAAACTGATAAAAGGACACAGCAGAATAGGGAGTAGGTAGGTAAAGGAACTGTCCCATATTGTGATTGTAATGGCAGTTACACAATATATACATGTGTCACAATTCACAGAACTGTACACTAAAATGGGTGAATTTTACAGTATTAAAATAGTACCTTAACTTTTTTAAGTGAGAAAAATAAAGAAAACAGAATTAAGTTCTATTTCTTAGAGTGCTTTCTGCCAAGAAAACACACAGTGGGATCAGAATGAGTTATCCAACTAGAAAACATCCATGACAATATATGGTAAACAATGCTCAGGAAACAAAGGAAGAAAACAGATGATGTCATAGTCATGTTTATACCACTTTTTACATAAGCCAATCTCTACCCATTCCTTTTGCATTGCCCTCATTCTTTTCATTAACCACACCACTTACTTTTTCTTCCACCTTACCTCTCATGTGTTGTACAAATGTTATCTGTGCAAATGTTTACATGTTATCAGATGATGTGCTCCTTATATTACCCCTCTAAGATGTTTATTAACTTGGTGACTGGGTCATTAAGTCATGTGGGCTAACAGAGAAGATTAGATTTATCAGTGGAGTGGCATACAAAAAGGCCACAAGGTGTAAAGCCCAGGAAAATGTCAAAATGATGGATAAGAAACCATTAATGCACTTAACTGACAATGACTCAAAGTGTGGTTCCCAGACCAGCACCAAGGGCATTACCTGGGAGGCAGTTTGTTAAAAATACAAAATTTGGGGCCCCACCCTATAATTACTGAATTTTGATCTCCAGGTGGAGCCTAGAAATCTCTGTTTTTAAAGCTCTTCAGTGACTACACTGTATGTTAAAGAACCACCAGCCTATAGCAGTGCTTTGTTCATTTTTAAGCCAACCCCTAATTTAACAGAATGACTGTGACCCACTGCAAACCAAAAAATCAGAATCTCTGAAGGTGGGACAAGGGCATCAGTATATTTTAAATCTCTATATTTGATTATATCAATAATAATTATGTATCTAGAGTTAACCAACCAGAACAAAAAAAAATAATTGTGAAGTCCCTCCAGCTCTAAAACACTACTTGTTGAAGTAAAACTTTAAGAAATATATTATACATCTTCATGCTTGTAAAACAAGACATCTTGGGGACTTCTGGTCAAGATCACAGAGTAGGTAAATGCTGTGCTTGCCTCCTCCAATGACCACATCAAAATGACAACCAAATTATAGAACAACCAGCTTTGAGAACCACCTGAAGACTAGCTGAATAGAATTCTTATGACTAAGGATCCACATGAAATCTGGTAGGAGGGGCAGAGACATGAAATGAGCTGGTCCTATACCTATGTAGGGCAGTTAAGAATTGGGAGGAGTATCTCTGCTGCAGAGGACCCCACTGAGGTCCCAACCCCACACTGGGTTCCCCAGCCCAGGGTACCATCGCCAGAAAGAGAAGTACCCACAAGAGCTGCCTGTGAAAATAAACAGAGGCTCGGTTCAGGTGAGATGAAGGGCTGCTAAAGACCCAGGCATCCTCTTAAAGGGCCGAAAAACAGGCTCACTTGCTCGCAAACACTCACCATAACTCCAGAGAAGAGATGGCAGCTTGAAAAGTGCCAGGGACATATGGGGAGAAACTGAATTGTCTGGCTCCAGAGCAAGGGTTGGAGGGGCAGCTCTCTCCAGAACTAAAGTGCCTGCAGGCACTGCTGTTCCTTTGTTGAGTCCTCCCACCCAGCCAACAGTCATAGGCTGAAGTGCAGGAAGGTACCATTGTCCTTTTGTTGATCTATCCCCCAACACAACTGGCAGGTGCTAGCGGGCACCCAATCTGATTCTCCATTAACTGGGCTAACATCACTCTCCCTCCACCATGTAAATTCTCTGAGACCCCACCCCACCCAAGTCACATGCCTGGCTGTAACCTCTTTCAGAGGCTAATCCACACAAGTGGCTGGCCTGGGGCTGTGCTGTGGACTTTCTTAAATTCTCTCAAATGTCCACAACCCCCAAACAAGTAGCAGCTGACCTCAGCGTGCCCTGTACCTCCTGCTAAGCAGCCCAAGGCCTGGCACTAGTGGCAGCTGGCCTCAGTTCACAGCATAACCACTCCCAGGCTCTTCCAAGCCGAGCAAGGCAGCTGCCAACTGCAGACCACTTTGTAGCTCCTACCAGGTGGCCCCAGATTGGACCCAGGCAGCAGCTGAACTTAGTATGCAATGGAGTCCTTCCCAAGAGGCTCCAGAACCAACATACCTGGTGTCAGCTTCAGACCACACCAGAGCACCACTTAATTCGTACCACAAATGACACACCCAAAGGTTGGACTCAGCAGGCAGTGAATCTCTCTCCATGGGGTCAGCCCACACACAACAGCTTGTCTGTGTTAATCAAGGCCAGTTCTCACAGCCAGTCAGCCTGAGAGTCAATTCACCCATTTATGTGCCAACAGTAATCAAGGCTACACTACAACAGGAAAGCATGGACAACCAACACAAGGAACACACCTGGAGCACCCAGCCCAGGTGAACAGGGAGACTGTGCCACTGGGCTTCACAGGACACCTACTACATAAGGCCATTATGCCAAGACTGTGAGCCCTAGTAGTTATGCCTAATACATATAAACAAACACAGGGAGGCAGCCAAAATGAGGAGACAAAAAAACATGTCCCAAATGAAAAAACAGGACAAAACTCCAGAAAAATAACTGAATAAAATTATTTATTTAAGAATTCTTTATTTAAATTCTTTATTTCAAAACAAGCAATCTACCAGATGCAGAGTTCAAAACACTTGTTATAAGGATGCTCAATGAACTTAAGAAAAGAACAGATGATCTCAGTGAGAACTTCAACAAAGAGATACAAAGCATAAAAAGGGAGATAGAAAACATAAAAAAGAACCAGTGATAAATGAAGAATGCAATAATAAAATGAAGAATACATTAGATGGAATCAATAAATTAGATAAAGCAGAGAATCAACGCAGCAATTTGGAAGACAAGGTAGCAGAAAACACCCAATCAGAACAGCATAAAGAAAAATTTTTTTAAATGAGGATAGTTTAAGGGCCTCTTGGGAAACATCAAGTGTAACAACATTCACATCAGAAAGAGAAGACATACAGCAGGGGATTAAAAACCAATTTGAAGAAATAAAAACTGAAAACTTGCCTAACCTGGCGAAGGAAATAGACATATAAGTCCAGAAAGTGCAGCGAGTCCCAAACAAGATGAATCCAAAGAGGCCCACACCAAGACACATCATAATTAAAATGCCAAAGTTTAGACACAAAGGGAGAATCTTAAAAGCAACAAGAGAAAAGCAATTAGTTGCCTACAAGGGAGCTCCCATAAGACAGTCATCTGATTTCTCAACAGTAACTTTGCAAGCTAAAAGTTGTTGTTACAAAATATTCAAAATGATGAAAAGTAAGGACCTATAACCAAAATTACTCTACCCAACAAAGCTATCATTTAGAATAGAAGGCCAGATAAAGAGCTTCCCAGACAAGAAAAAGCTAAAGGAGTTCATTGTCACCAAACCAGTATTACACACAATGTTCAACGGACTTCTTTAAGAAGAAAAAAATAAAAAATATGAACACAAAAATATCACAAAGAAAAAACTCTCACTGATAAAGGGAAACAGAATAAAAGCAGTAGATCAACTAACACTAAAGGTTATACAAAGATTAAAGGGCAAAGGAAAGAAGTGCATGTGCAATTACAACAGGAAATTAAGGGATAAACACAACATATACACACACAAAAGAAGTAAAAAATAATGACAAAAACATAAATGTGAAGGGGTGAGTAAAAATGGTAGTGATTTTAGAATGTGTTCAAACTTAAGTGACTGTCAGCTTAAAATAGACTGCTATAAACCTAACTTGGTATATATGAAACACATAACTACAAACCAAAAATCTACAAGAGATATACAAGAAATAAAGAGAAAGGAATCTAAGCACAACACTAAAATAAGTCATCAACATACAAGACAAGAGAATAGGAATAATAAAACAAGTAATAAAATGGCAATAACTACATACCTGTCAATAATTACTTTAAATGTAAATGGATTAAATGCTCCAATCAAAAGATGAGTGAATAATGTAGAAGTGGTGGAGATATACAGGCGTGCCAAAAAAATGTATACACTTGACTTGTATTCATCTTTTGTTATCATTATATATTGAGTATTAACAATTTTAATACAGTTTTTTCTTTTCTTAAGATGTGTATACTTTTTTTGGCACCCTGTGTATATATGGTATGATCAAACAATACAGTGAATGTTTAAATTTTAAAAATTATTACAGTAAAACACATTACCATTAATCTCGCCATCATGAGCATTGTCATGATGGAAGATGAAACCGTTTGCCCATTTCATGTTAATGGGTTGTTCGTGATCCATGATTTACGTCACACTTTAAAGCACACCTTCTCTCACTGTAGCCCACACCCGACTGACTGCACCGAATAAGTTGAAACTCGTCACACACTGTTACTAAGGTTCGACACACCACTTTCCATATTGAAGATCCCTGCCTTTCCATTGGATGGCACTCGGCAGCAGCATTCACTGTATTTTGTGATAACAATGGAAAGGCTCCATGTCACACATTGCTTCTGGTATGCCAATTTCTGTCAAATAAAAACATTACGGTGTGTCCTCATCTACCTTATTCACTGGATCTAGCACCATGTGATTTCTGGCTCTTCCCAGAAGTCAAAATGACCATAAAAGATAAACATTTTGAATCAATTGAGGACATTGAGGCTGCCACGACAGCGCAACTAAAGACACTAATGAAAGAGGACTTCTAGAACTGCTTCGGAAAGTGGCAGGAATGATGGCATAAGTGTGTTCGAATTGAGGGGAAGTATTTTAAGGGAGATTAATGGCAATATGCCTTTTACTGCAATAAAAACTTTTTAAACATTCACTGTACTTTTTGATCACACACACACACACACACACACACACACATGCACACACACACACACACACACACTGTAATATCACTAAGCCTCAAAAAAGAATGAAATCTTATCATTTGTGACAACATGGATGGACCTTGAGGGTATTATGCTAGGTGAAATAAGTCAGACAGAGAAGGATAAAGTGCCATATGATTTCACTTATATGTGGAATCTAAAAAACAAAATAAATGAACAAACAAAACAGAAACAACCTCATAGATACAGGGAACAAATTGATGGTTGCCAGATGGGAGGGAAGTTGGGGGACTGGATGAAAAAGGTGAAGAGATTTAAGAAGTACAAATTGGCAGTTACAAAAAAAGCACAGGAATATAAAGTACAGCTTAGGGAATATAGTCAATAATATTGTAATAACTATATATAGTGTCAGGTGGGTGTGAGACTTATCAGTGTCAGGTGGGTGTGAGACTTATAATCATGTTATATACATGTCTAACCACTATGCTGTATACCTGAAACTAATATAATAATGTCAACTCTAAATGAAAAACTAAGAAAATTTAAAAATAAATAAATAGAAAATAAGGTATCCTGACCATAAAGCAATCTTTTTTAAAGGGGTTGTGTATGACTGGCCAATAACAGTGAACATTCTATTACATGTTTAAAGTCTACTAAGATTAATAAGTCTCTTTACTTCCGAAATGCAGGTCTTAGCTACAGTTATTACATCTCTGTGCCCAAATATATAGTATTATTTACTTCTTTCACTATAAGTTGGTTAACTTTTCTTCTCCTTTTGGACATTTTTTTCTTATCTTTTTGTACTACTTTATTCTTCCCCAGTGTGAAAGAATGCTCACTATTTCTAATTCTGCTGTCATTACTTTTCATTCATTCATTCAATTTATACTCATTAAGCAACTATTATGTGCCAGGCATTATTCTATGCACTGGGGATAAGTAGTTAACAAAGAAAAATCCCTTATATTTTGATAGGAGGTGAAAGACAATAAACATAAATTATGTGGTTGTACAATAAAGCAAAATAAAGCAGAGTAGTGGATTCAGATAGTGATGGAAGGTATCTGTGCTGTCCTACACACGTGTGCTTATATAGAAGAGTCAAGGAGAGTCTCTGAATAAGTGACAATTGAGCAGACTCCTGAAGTGAGTGAGGCTGCAAGCCACGTGGATACATGGAGGAAGAGTGCTCCAAATGAAGGAGACACAAGTACAGCGCTCATGGGTTTTTTTCTTGGTGTATTCAGAAGAAAAGCAAAAAGGCAGTCAAATTGGAATGGAGTAAGTTAGAGAAGCATGGTAGGAAATAAGGTCAGGAGGTTGGCAGGGACATGTACAGCTGTGTAAAAACTTTGGATTTTTATTCTGGGAGAGGAGGCCATTAGAGAATTTAAAGCAGGGGAGTGACATGATCCTGTATTTTTAAAGGATCACTTTGGCTGCTTGGCAGAGAATAGATTATAGGTTTTCTTATTTCCTAACTGTTGCAGCATTTACATCAACAATAACAGAAAGAGAGAGAGAGAGAGAGAGAGAGAGAGAGAGAGAGAGAGAGAGAGAGAGAGAGAGAGAGCGAGCTTAGGATGAAACAAGTATTAGTGTACAAACCCAAGCGTGGACATATTACTACAAACTTGATAAAGAGATCAAAGTATCAATGTACACTCTACCTGCATATCGGATATCTGTGGAATGCAAGATTTAGGTCTTAAGGGCAAGAGGGTTGCCATTTGTGGAAAAGGGTCAACATCTTTCCTTGGTTTCTCTTGACGGAAGTGCCACAATTTCAGTTCAGCACTCGCATGTTTTGTTGAGAATGAATGAGTAACACAGAATCTTGGTGCCCTGGTGAGAGGAAAAGAAATTTAAGATTAAAAAAATCAAGAGCTTAAAAAGTGTGTAATACTTGTGCTCACAATTACCAGTCTTCTATACCCATTTTTTTTATAATTTCTACTTCTTTTTCTACTGCCTAGCTTTAAAAAATGTTTTTCTATGATATATCAAGTGCCTGAAATCACATTAACTCATATAAAGAGGCAATATACACTAGGAAAAAATAATTTAAAACTTACATTCAAACTATTATCTACATGGTAAGAAAAAGAACCTATATATTCAATAAAATAATTTTTTTAAATAACTTACAGTTTCTAGTACAATGAATAGGAAATGCACCTGTGACCATTTTAAGGCAGTTTAGTATTTTCCTATAGTACCAAATAAAAACTGGTGGATGAAATTAAATTTTAAAACATATAAAAATTTTAATAATGCTTAAGTATACTGCTAAAGTGGATTATGATTCATATGATTTATTTTCAAGCCTTAAATTTGAAGATAAGAATGAATTTTACAACTATTTATATAAATGAAAGACCAATACTACTGCCAGAAACTTATGGAAAAGAATGTTTGGCACAATATCAAGGCCATACTTAATTGGATGGATATCCTGGTATTCATTCTGTGGGCCAGCTCTTTATTGGCTATAGGGTTAAATCCAGCTGTCAGGGACTGTTGGTAATTGTTGTTTGGACCAGGTTTTCCTTCTGATGCCGCAACGCAAAGACTAAATCCCACTCCCTATTTCAGGTCCTAGTAGAAAATTGCCTCCCTTTAAAATAGGAAGAAGGTAAATATTTCCCTGATGTGAACACAGATTGGGTGTAGAAGAGAATCCAAAGTTAATAATTAGTTTAGGATCAGAAAGTACCCGGTACGGATCTGGGTGGTCATTCTACACTACATTTCACAAACTTTACTTCAAAATTACCTCTTATTTGCATGTCAACTGGTAAGTGGGCATATATACAAGATCCATATTGAATAAATCATACAAGTACTGGTCAGGAAATCCAGGTATCTCAATTTTCTGATTTCCTTCATTACAGTATATTCATATGACCCCATAAGTCTCTGCTATCCCTACCACTTTAATCTTACATTATTTCATTCATTGCATTAATTTTTTATTAGCTACTATGTAAATTCATCAAATATTGTGGAATAAATTTCACAGCCCATCCTAAACTGGTGTTGTACCATTTTTCGTGCTTCCATCATACAAGTTCACATGCATGTTGATTGTACACATCTTAATTCTCAAGCTCAGAGAGTAGAAGATTTTTGCCATGTAATACCATTAAAAGAACTATATCCAATAAGTGTGTGTGTGTGTCTCTCAATATAAAAATGGGCAAAGAAAATAAACAGGCAATTCATGAAAATTCATATCCAAATGACCAGTAAGTATTGAAAAGGTTATCAACTTCACTAATAATCAGGGAAATGCAAGTTAAAGCCACACAACATCAATGACACACCAGACATAATATTTAAAAAATATTAAATTCTACCATGGATTTGCAGTAATGAGTACTCTCATATTCTGTTGATTGGAGCATAAGTTGGTAAAACTACTTTGGGAAAATGGATATGTGTACAAGAATTATACATTATAGCATTGCTTATAGTTGTGAAAAGTAGGGAACCCAAATGTTAAAAAACAGCAAATAAATTATGATTTATTCATGCAGTGGAACACCATATCCAGCAATGCAAATGAATAAAACTCTTAAATGCAATTATAGATGACTCTCACAAATATAATGTTGATAGAAGACACAAAAGAATCCATACAACATGATTCCTTTTATGTAAAGTTGTGTAACAGGCAGATAAAAATATATGTTTAGTGATTGATTTGCATACATGGTTAGTAAAACTATAAACAAAAGCAAGATGATAATCACAAAAGTCAGGATAGTGGTTACCTCTGAGGGAGAGTGAGAATGTTGTGATTAGGAAGGGACCTTAAGGGGTCTTGGCAATATTCTATTTCTCAGCCCACATGATGGTTATAGAAGTGTTTGCTTTATAATATTCATTTATCTGTTTATATCTTAGTTTGAAATTTAAAGAACACACAGGATTTAGCTAGATTAGAAAAAAGGTAAAAAATAATAATAAACTAAAATAGAAAGAAAAAATGTAAGAAAAAATTCTGGGAAAATGGCAATGTCAGCAATATTGTTTTTCTTTCCTTTTCTTCATCTAATTTTACAGTTTATTCATGCCATGAAAATGTATCAAATTATTACCATGTGCCTGGCACTGCTGGGGAAGATGGAGTACAGGAAGAAAACTTCCAGGCTCTCATAATCATCAAAAGAACCAGAAATGAGAGGTCACTGCCTCCCACACTGCTACACTCTTTAGAAGCACTGAAAATGCACAAACCGCAATTCTCTAAGATAAATATTTCAATAAAATGTTTTCTTTTCTTTTTTAATTTAAAATTTTTTAATTCTTTTTCTATTAATAGTTTCAGGTGTACAAAACAACATAATGATTAGATATTTACAGACCTCACAAAGTGATAACCCCAACAAGTCTATGACCCATCTGACACTGTACATAATTATTTCAATACCATTCACTACATTCCCTATGCTGTACTTTACATCCTGTGACTATATACATGTGTATGTGTATACACACACACACACACACACACACACACACACACACACACTAGTTGACATTCAATATTAGTCTATACTAGTTCCAGGAGTACAGAGCAGTGGCCAGGCATTTACATAATTCATGAAGTGATCCCACCCATAAGTAAAGCCCCAACAGACACCACAGTTTTTACAACATCATTGACTATATTACAAATGCTGTATTTCACATCCCCATGACTATTTTGTGACTACCAATCTGTACTTCCTAATCCCTTCACCTTTCTCACCTGTCCCCTAAACCCTCCTTCCATCTAGCAACCATCAGTTTATTTCCTGTCTCTATGAGTCTATTTCTCTATTGTTTCTTCATTTATTCTGTTCTTTAGATTTCACATATAATGAGGTCATATGGTATTTGTCTTTCTCTGTCTGACTTATTTCACTTAGCATAATATCCTCTAGGTCCAGGTCCATCCATGTGCGGCAAATGGTAAAATTTCATTCTTTGTTATCGCCGAGTAATACTCCATTGTATAAATGTATCACAATTTCTTTATCCAATCATCTATTGATGGGCACTTCTGTTATTTCCATATCAAAATATCCATATATTGTGAATCCTGCTGCAGTAAACATAAGGGTGCATACATTTTTTGAATTAGTGTTTTGGATTTCTTTGGATAAATACCCAGGAATGGAATTGCTGGGTCATAAGGTAGCTTTATTTTTCATTTTTTGAAGAACTTCCATACTGTTTTCTTACTCACTCAGCTACCCTATGTCTTTTGATTGGAGCACTTAATCAATTTACATTTAAAGTAATTATTGATAGGTACATAGTTATTGTCATTTTATTATTCATATTTTTTATCTTTGTTTTCTCCTTTCTGCTGCTTAAAGAAGCTCTTTTTAACATTTCTTGTAATACTGGTTTGGAAGTAATGAATTCCTTTAGATTTTTCTTGTATGGGAAGCTCTTTTTCTCTCCTTCAATTTGAAATGATAGTTTTGCTGAGTAAAGTAGTCTTGGTTGTAGGCCCTTCTTTTTCATCACCCTGATTATTCCCTGACAAACTCTTCTGGCCTGCAAACCTTCTGTTGATAAATCAGCTTATAGTCTTCTGGGAGCGCCCTTGCAAGTAACTAGTTCTCTTTCTCTTGCTGCTTTTAGGATTCTCTTTTTGTCTTTAACCTTGTCATTCTAATGATAATGTGTCTTGGTATGGACCTGTTTGGGTTCATCTTGCTTGAGACTGTGTACCTCCTGGGCTTATACGTCTATTTCCTTCACCAGGTTAGGGAACTTTTCAGTCATTATTTCCTCAAATAGGTTTTCAATCCCATGCTCCTTTTCTTCTTCTGGTACTTCTATGATGCAAATGTTGTTACTGTTGATTTTGTCCCACAGGTCCCTTAAACTATCTTCATTTTTTGTTCGTTTATTTTGTTTTGTTTTATTATTCCATTTTCCTTTGTTATGACAATTGTTACCTTGTCTTATAAATTGCTGATTCTATCCTCTACTTTATCTAATCCACTGTTGATTCCTTCTAGAGTATTCTTCATTTCAGTTATTGTATTCTTGATTTCTGACTGTTTTTTTTTTATAGTTTCTATGTCCTTCTTTATGCTTACTATCTCTTTTTTGTAATTCTCACTAAGCTCCATAAGCATTCTTACAACCAGTGTTTTAAACTCTGTCTCTGGTAGGTTTGTTGCCTCCATTTCATTTACTTTTGTTTCTGGAGGTTTCTTCTGTTCTTTTATTTGGGACATGTTTCGTTGTTTCCTCATTCTGGCTTCCTCTCTGTGTTTGCATCTATGTATTAGGTAGATCTCTCTTTCTATGGCTCTGTCTTAGCCAGGTAGTATGCATTCTGTGTGGTCCAATGATGCAGCCTCCTCATCGCCTATGTGTGAATTCCAGGAGTGTCCCTTGTGTGTGTTGTTTGTATTCTCCTGTTGTAGTTGAACTTGATTGCTACTGGTGCATCAGTGGGTGGGACTGACTCCTAGGCTGACTGACTGTGAGGATTGGCTAAGCTCATAGTGTATGAGCTACTGTGTATGTGGTGACCCTTCAGAGGGGAATTTGCCCCTGAGGGCTCTTGTGCCTGTTGAGACCATCCTTTGGGTGTACTTCCTGTGGGATAACCAGGTAGTGCTCTGGCATAGTCTGAAGCTGGCCTCTAGGTGTGTTGTTTCTGGTGTCTCTTGGGAGGGGCTCCATGCAGGCCAATTTCAGCATTGCCTGTTACCTTCCAAGTGCTGTCTGGTAGGAGCTATAGAGGTACATGTGGTTTGTTGCAGCCTGAGCTGGACCTGGAGGCATGTTGGGGTAGCCTCACTGTGAACTGAGGCTGACTGCCACCAATA